GTGCTAGCAATGAGGGAGGCTTCGTGGGCGTGGGACCCTCCCGGCCAGGTGTGGGATATAATCTCCTGGTGTGCCTGTTTGCTTAAAGCGCAGTATTGGGGTGGGAGTTACCTGATTTTCCAGGTGTTGTGTGTCTCAGTTCCCCTGGCTAGGAAAAGGGATTTCCTTCCCCCTTGCACTTCCCAGGTGAGGTGCTGCCTGGCCCTGCTTCAGCTCTGGCTGGTCGGGCTGCAACAGCTGACCAGCACCGATTGGCCAGCACTCCCTCGTGAGATGAACCCAGTACCTCAGTCGAAAATGCAGAAATCACGGGTCTTCTGTGTCGCTCGCGCTGGGAGTTGGAGACTGGAACTGTTCCTATTCGGCCATCTTGCTCTGCCCCTCATGAAAATTCTTTAGTACAATCATTACATAATGATCATTTAGGCTTGCTTTGGATCAAAGTAAGTTTTCTGAATAGCCTTAAGATAACCATTTTGAAGCTTATTGTTCTTAGGGAACTATGTTACCTTTATGATAACTAACTATACCTTATATAAATTTTGTAGACATAGGCTGAAATTTGAAGTCTTCCAATGTGTTGAATAGCTTATATATTTAATATATTAAATATTTGGCTCATTATACTTTCATAATTCAATCATCTGCCCCCTTTGTTACAATTGTATGCAACTGTTAAACGATATTTTAAATAGCTGGTTTCTTGAATGATTTTTTTCAGAGTTGTGAAATTCAGTTGTCTTTGATTATTTTGTGTTTTCTGTATAAGTAAAAAGTATTTCAAGTGGCATTGCTCTCTGAATTACAGTAGTTGGCACTAGGTGACAAATATTCAAGATTAGAAAAAGATTTTGCTCAAGAAGCTAAGTGGAAAATTTCCCTTTTTCCCCGTCCTTTAGTCCATTTTTTTTTTTCCTTGAATACTTGCTTTGTTTTCATACCCAGGCTAATTGAATCCTCTTTGTTATCTATGCCACACCGGTACATGTGTCTACTGAGGGGGCTGAGGTTAGTGCTTTGATCTCTTGGTACTTGCTGAGGGGACAGGATGGAATACTAAAAATAAGTTTATTTTCTCTGAAAGCTCGCCTAAAAATATTTTCTTCTTCTAGCTTGGGAATTCTCTTTCTACTCATTACCCTCTGTACCCAAAATTAAA